AGCTCCAGCAGCGTCCCAAGCAGTCAACCTGTAGAGCTGTTTCTACCGCAGACATCTCTGTCTGGCCTGCAGAGCACTATAAGCTCACAGGAGCTAAACAACCAGGCTCCAGCCCCTGGCACAACCATCTTTGTTGTTCAAGGTGGTGTGGGCGTTGTAGCCAGCCCTGGACAGCAGCCACCAGAGCAGCTTTTCCAGACAACTGTGGGCGGGAATGTGGCTCCTCAAGGACAAGCCAACCTGTTTGTGTTTGGCATCCAGAACGGTAAGATGATTGGGGCTTCTCCACCTCTTAATTATAAAAATCATAGTTAAGTGTCTGTAGAATTCTTGACTTCCTGGATTTCATGGTACTGCCATGCTTCACCCATTGAGCTAAACATATCCAAGTGCATCCTGCGTTGCACCAATGTTCTAATTACATCCTTTACCTACTGTTTGATTACAGTGATCATCACAATGTTTTTCTTCCTTCCAGACTCGCCACAGCTGCTCAATTCCTCCGGATCCACCCTACCTGCTCAGAGCCAGTCCCAGAACTCCAGTCACATGCAGCCTCTCTTGGATCAGCCAATGGCCCAGGCTGCCTCTCCAATGCAAGCCCCCATGCACAGCAGCCTACAGAACACTCTTCAGGCACAGATGCAGTCCAGCTTAGAGAACGCCATGCAGACCAGCCTACAAAACGCGATGCAGACAAACACACAAAATGCCCTGCAGTCTAGTTTACAGGCAAACATAGAAACAAGCTTGCCAACTCCAATGCAGACCAATCTACAGATGGAGATACAGAGCAGCTTACAGAATCAATTGCAGGCATCATTATCTGTATCATCTAACATGGATAAAATCGAGGACCTACTGGAAAGCCTACAGAAGTAGTGATAAATATTTGGACAATGTGCTCTCGAAGGAGAATGAGAGATATGTAGCTAGTTATACATCCTAACATCAACAAAGTGGTGGTGCAAGTGTTTTGTGCCAGTGCCACAAAATGTAGAAAATTTAAATATTTAAAAATGAAATGCCCCTTTTACCTAAAACCAAATTATGAGCTCACGTAACCCCTTGTTTTTATGAAATATTTATCATTCATTACAGCTTTCGTAGATCCATTCTCCTTGAAATGATGAGTCCGTCTTTGTTGTTACCCCTCTTGCAGGATCAGAGAGGTCTGTAACGACAGCTTTATCTATCAGTCTCAGAAATGCAGTGTTTTGTTGTCAGAGTGTTTTTAACAATGTGAGCCTAAGAGATGATATTGATAAAAGTCTATCAGGTTTTAGTGGGGAAACTGGAAAGGGATAAAGAATGTCGATGATGGTAAAATGGGAAATAGTAATGTGATGGAGAATAGGCTGTAAGAGGCAGAGAAGATAAAACAGTCAGCCATGGAGTGGATATCACATAGCACGTAAGTGTCCGATATAGGCTGAATCTCATTTTGTGAGTGTAAACTAATTTCACTCAGAGAGACAGTCGGTGACAGTTGTGTTAGTCTGTCCGTCATGTGGGACGGCAGGGAAACTGGGGGAAAATTACCTGGTGTGAATATTGTCATTCTTTTGTCCTCTTTGCAGATCTTTTGCAGTAAATCAACCTCGTGTTTGCACAGCTCAGCAGTTTGACTAATGTATATGTAAGGAGCAAAGGTTAAATTACACATACTTCTAGAATGTTTTACCTGAGCAGACTCGACAGGAGGACAGCTAAACTCTACTCCTCAAGAATTTCTCACTTACTAAAATGGCGTATCATTACATATTTATACAGCAGGTGGTTCCCCCAGTGTGTAGCAGAAAGAGGAGAGAATATTTAACACTCGCAAATGAGATTCAACCTAGTGAATAATGTGACTTGGCCTTTTGTGGCCTTTTAGGCACCTCCCAGTGTTTTCATATGTTTAGGCCTCATCAGCTTTCTTGGGGAACTTTTAAGAAGCATTGTAGTGTGTGTATCTTTTTGTTTTAAAGAAGTTGGTAACTTTACCAATCTAATGTGGATAGAGCGAAACTTTCCACTAGTGAAAATGGAGTGTTGTGTTTTTATAAACAGTTTATCTCAAGCACTTTATAACCTCTTTTGTGTAACCAGCTAATCCTTATATCCGTCCACAGCTCTCTACTGACCCAGCTGAATTTGTACTCTGAAACGTCCACTTAAAAAACAAGAAAACAGAAACAAAAACAAAAAAAACAGAAATCAGTTGTCTTGTAAAAGTAAATACATCTTAACCAAACATTTTTACATTTTCTCATGTCAGAATATTTTTGAGGTCTAGGACAACTTTGTATAGAATGTCTGCTCACTGTTGGATCCCTTTTTATATTCAGTCTCAGTGGTCCAGTCAAGTCTGTCAAAAACAGCCATTCCCACAAAAGCATTGTCATTTGTCAGTGTTGGAGTGGTAAGCGGGCCTTTGTGTTTTACACACTGACAAAACACCTAAAATACAGATTCATTCAGATTGTGCGTTGAAATGAAGGATTTTCATTGTTATGCTATTTGTACTATTTACTGTTCGGTCTGTCACTTTAGACTGTTCTACTTTGTGTTGTGTTAGATATTTAAGTTTTGTCTGTGTTGGTACCGTGCGCAGGCTGGCACCATGTGAAGTTGGCACCCAGTAGCCGTCCCTTGTGTTGTGAACAGGGGCTCACTGGTAAATGAAATCTCTGTTACATAGAGGCCGCCATGTTGTTTCTATCTATGGTGCTATGTATAGGAGTGATGGGCACTTCTGATGTGATGTTATTACGTAACCGTTCCGACTTAAATCAATAGCATTGACATCAATTGTTAGTTTGTGAAGCAGAGTTGAGTCCAGAGAGCTGGCTGTTGTTGTGGGGTCAGACTGGGGTGCTCCCGGGCAAACCAAAGCTCCTGTTGTGAATCCTCCTCATCTTGTCCCATACTTGTCCTTTCAAATGCCCTCATCATCATGTTTACTCATTTTTACTTAATCATTTAAATTATGCAGCTCTTACATGGATAGCAATTCAGCATGTTGTTTTCTTTTATGTAAACATTTATAAAAGATATGTAAAGGTACTTTGTTTCATGGATCATATGATTAACATTTCAACCCATTTTTCCTTTCTCTTGACATTACTCTATTTTTTGATGCAAAGTAATACTGTATTTTCCATATCTACAATAGTAGCCAATTTGGCGTTATCAAAAAAAGCCAATTTTCAGAATAATTCTAATGTTGGAGTAGCATCTGTTTACATTTTCATAGTCACACTATTTTGTCCTGCAGCTGTTAGTGATCCATTTTAAAGTAACTTATCTTTTTTAGAATTTTGTATCCATGTATCAAAATGTAGAGTATTTTTGTAAAACTAAAGTTTTTGGTTTACGCTCATAGCACAGAATATCATTGCTGGTATTTTACCCTGAAACTAAGCGCAGGTTTATTGTGAAGGGTATGACTGAAATTAGAAATGTAGTTAAGTGGACATCAAGCAAATTTGTTCGAATTTTATTTGACTGTTCTAACATCGACTTTACCCAATTTGTACATTGTGATAAATGGGCGAGGTTCCTCGTGTTTATTTTAATGTCATGCATCTCAAATGGCACTTTGACTCAACCATTAACTGTAGATCAGGTTAGAGCGCAGTAGTGATGTTTCCAAGCATTCCATTCCTCTTGGGTTAGGGGAGTTAAAGAGCACATAACGTTGCAGAGGAAGTGCAGAACAGTAATGCCTCTTAAAGCCATACCAACACAGAAAGCCAAGCTGTGACTTCGGTTTCATGAATGTAAAATTTACCTCATGGTGTGGACACAGCTCGCTCTACATCAAACATTGGACCAATTACAGTTTCAGAGAACATATATTTGGAGGCAGAGGGGGATTGGGTGGCGGGGCACCAACCGTCATTCGTGTCACTGTACATTTGTCAGATTGTTTCGTCTTGGGATTGCGGTGTAATGTCATGTTGTTTGCACCCTGTCCTTTCATCGTGAGCAATCCAGGATGCTCAGTCTGACTCTTCAAATAGCCACTTCCACCTGACTAAACCATGTGAAGCATCCATTTAATAGTGGCGAAGACAGCACACAAATCTTGACACGATATAGTTTTGTCCGTCAGTCATGTAAATGAATATCCATGTATATTTAAATGTGAAATATACTGCAGGGGTATCTTGAATTTCAATTGTGATGCTTTCAACAGAACTTTGTGTGCCTTGATAACTTATCCGTTACTCTGCTGTGTTCACTGATGTCCCTTTTGTGTCACTGCTATTTGGCAACTTGTCCTTTTTACTCTTGAGGACTGTTTAACATCAGGATACTTTTCAGTGATAGTTTTATTGCAACAACACAAGTGCAACCATAGCCCATACCAATATATTTAAGCGTTAACATTTTCACTCTGGAAATGCAAGATATCAAAATGAGTACTCTCAACGTAATGTTGTGCAGCTTCACCCGTGAATTGTCATCTTGTTCATTATTTTCTGTTGAAAATTATTTTTCCATGCCTCATGAGATTTGTAGATTTGAGGTAAAAGGGACAAGACAGTGGAGATTGTTTTAATGGAGAGCTTTCTTGTACTGATGTGCTTGTCAACATTACTATTGTTGCTGTGAACTGCTTGATCAAATGGAGCAACCATGATAACCGTTACTTGCCAATAGTGTGAGCTGTATCTTGTGTGTAATCAGTTTGCTCACGTTTCCTAGTTCGCTTTCTATTTCACATTCTCCAACAGTTCTGTTGTATCCGTTCTGTGTAGCTTGAGCTTTAGTATCTAGCCTTAAGACCCTGCAGTAGGGATAAAGGTCAACCCCAGTGTGTTATCATACATCTGAACTATTATTAACGTGTACTTTGCCTTGGTCTGGACATTTGTATACTCTTCTGTTTATATCTGTAATCCTGCTGCTACATTAAATGAATTAATAAAAATATAAGCATCTTGATTTTCATCTTTTCTCTCCCTAAGAGTTTTAACTATAAACATTAACAGTCAAAAGTTGTGCAAATCAATGTTTATATTAGTCTTTTTAAACAAATATTTCAAGTATGTTTCCCAGTACATATGCAGCAAATTAATACATTGCAGTTAAATTACAAATCTGGCTTCAGGCTTTAGGTGCTGGCACAAATGCATTACATAAACTGTCATAATTTATTAATTCTTCTCTGCAAAATCTTATGGAAGAAGGATAAAGGATCCTCAAAGTCAAAACCAACATCAAACTCAGGTTTTTTCCCGAGAGCGAGTGCAGCCACCAATATGGCCAACATGGCTGTCATGCCCCATATGTGATATTGGCTTCCTGAATCAGTGTCCACAAAATAAAATGAGTGCAACGACCCCACCGTCCCAGCAGCACCATTGGCAGCGCTGTGTCCCTTCTCGCTGATGAAGAAGTCCAGGGGGATGGTGAACACGGCGCTGACCTCAGCTGGGTTTGGACAGGGACAAAATGACTCCTCAATGAATCCAACCACCGGAGTCACCAACAGACCGCTCTGTTAAAAGATATGAGGGAAAAAAGATGGACTCTAAGCAGCTGATGTCACAAGGAAGAGTCATTACCCCCACCAAGGTTATGTTTTCACCCGTCTGTCTTGTTGTTGGCTGGTACATTTATATATAAGCAAGATTACACAAAAACTACTGATCGGATTCCCATGAAACACAATGGGAGGATGTGCTAAGGGTCAGAGACGGACCCATTTATATTTTCTGCTAATCCGGATCAGGGGGCAGATCCAGAATAGTTTTTTTTCACTTTCTTTAACATTATGTGGGCGTTTTTTGACAGATTTCCCACAGAATTATTCCTGGATCATGATGAATGAAATCAGGCACGTTCAGGCAACTGATATCTATCGAGTGTGTGGAACTTCAGAGTTGACTGTTGTGTGCCACTAGTTTTTAATGTCATACCTTATGCATGACAGGGAACAGTCTGCAGACCACCTCGACACCATCAGCTGTTAGACCGATCTCCTCTTCGGCTTCCCTCAGAGCCGTGTCCACGTCATCTCTGTCATCAGGGTCTTTCTTCCCACCAGGGAAACACACCTGCCCGGCGTTGGTCCTCAGCTGAAGAGACACAACATGTCAAGTCACAGGCTGGTTCCAACAGCAGATAGCTCATCGGCTGATTAACCACAGTGGCATCCATGCAGGTGTTACCTCCGCTGAACGCAGAGTCATCAGGGTGTGTACTTCTCCGTCCTTCACGAACAGAGGGATCAGCACCGAGGCTTTGGGCAGCACCGGCAGGTCCGAGAACTTGTCTCCGATGTCGAAAGACTTTAAAACGGCGACAATCTCCTCTTTGGTCTGCATGGTGGCCGATCGGTTTCAAAACAGACACGGGAAGAGGAAGCACCGATGAAAACAATCAACATGCTTCAGCGAAAACAAACCGGAGTCGACTTCTGTCGCACTGGTGCTTCGTTTTTAAATACTCGTCTGCAGCTTGACACTGAAGTTTTAAATAAGCTGTTAAATAAGGATTTCACTTCTGTTTACATCACAGCACGATTCAACCCGCGAAGGAGCCATTCTCGTCCCGCGAATTGTACGTCACAATGTGAGACGGGTAGCTTACGTTAGCACAAAAGCTAACACTTATATAAACAGTTGGTTGCATGGAAATGAATCTGCCACTCCCGCTGATCAGTCAAGATATTATCATGAGTACCTCCATTATTCCCCTGTTGGTTGTGTTTAGTCATTTATTCAACGGCTAGGATCACAACGCATGACGTCTCAAACCGGAAATGTGTCGTCACATCAGTGCGACGAGCATTAGCGACAATTAGCCGGTTAGCTGTCAGGGCAATGATGCTACTTACATATTTACTATGTGGAAATAAGGAATCGATCATGGGTGGGAATGCGCAGAGAGTCATTCATAAATATAATATAATAAATATTTTCAATAAACAACTGAAGAGTAGCCATGTTGTTTGTAAACATGTGACGTGACTCCCTCTTCTGGGAAAACTGTTGAAGTGCAACAGGAATCAAAACTCAGCAGTGAAGTTCCAACGGGTTTGTGTATTGCTGTAAACAGGTCACCCATGAAAACATCATTAAATTAAACTTACAGTACATTCCAAGTCATTTTATGGCATAATGAGAAAAAAACATACCAAGAAGTTTGTTCACTGAAAATAAAACAATAGCCTGAGACCTGTGATTTAAATCAATGTGCCGGAGCAAAAATAACAACATTCTTTCTCTCTATCGCCAAGACAAAACTGTAATTTACAGGTAGAGTCTATACACTGAGGTGAATAAATAAATAAAAATCTAACAACCAATTCTTAATACACATAAACTTATCCCACGTATTCAATGGGGGGGCAAACAGAAATGTTCTTCTCAAAGTTATTTACAACCCACAGCTCACACGTTGTGGATTCTCGTGTAGAAAAATAAATAAGATTCAGAACACAGCAAAGCTAAGGAGGGTCGTCACAGTGGTCAGATCAGTTCTGTCGGGGCCTCTGCAGCCCTCCGTCTCCTCACACTTTGTACTTCTCCTTGGCTTGGTCGTTCAGTATGCAGATGTGCTGAAGTGAAGTAAACAAAAAGGGCATTAGGTTCATGTTCAATGCATTGCTATTTTCCTGGAATTAAAATCCCCACCTGAGGGCATGTCCTTGGTTTAGTTTCTGGATTAGACGCTCACAAAACCGGCCTTGTTTTTTTAATCAAGATCCATAAATCATTCTCTTAGGAATCAATTCAAATGTTGCAAATCTCGCAAAAAAATCTTCCATCTTGCAAAAAATCCCAGATCCAACCCCTTAACCTGGATCCAGACCAAAAATTTAAAGGGTTCTGTCTTGACCCATTTTATCTTCTTCCACCAAGTTTTAACGTCATCTGTCCAGTAGTTTTTGCATAATCTTAATTTACAGACAGAGGAACACATACAAAAACTTGACCTCCTTGGTGGATGTAATTAATATATAAGTAAAGTTTTATGGACTTCGGGAGCAGGTCCTCTCTATGGACGCCACCATTTTTTTAACAGTAGCCCGGAGTGGACGAACTAAACACCTTTTGAGTTTTCATGACAACTGAAGACTACCACTGGTTCTCTTTCATGTTTGGAGGGCGAGGTGAGGGGTATTCAGCTGCAACATGCAACTTCAGATTCTAAGATTCCAGATTCCTAAGATTCACCAGTAGGTGTCACTAAATTCTACACACTGAACCTTTAAATAGAACTTCATTAAGCTTGTTCTTAAAAATGAATCATGAGGGGAAGAAATCTATTTGTATCATCCGTTTCATAAGATGTCGGTCTTAATGCTTCATCATGAGGAATCAATCGAGCAAACTCACACTGAGATCTCTGAAGTACTCGTTGTAGTCCAAAGCGTAGCCCACTAGAAAGGCATCTGGTACCTCAAAGCCGATGTCTGAAATAACACACATGCCACTAATGTGAGTGACGAAAAGACTCAACATCCACTTAAAATGCAGTGAAAATAAAACACATTGGCTGATCTGAGAGAGGATCCTGAGACATTTACAGAAGAAGAGGTTGTATTAATATAACAGACGCTGCTCTTTTAGTGTCTGTGTTACTTAAGCTGTCAGTGTTGTGTAGTGGAAAGTCAAAACGCTTACAGTAACGGCTGTCCTTGAGGGACAATCTTAAAGAGATTATCCAACTCAGACCTAAAAGCATTACATAACCAGAGACAGTGTGAGCGGGGGGTTATCAGGCCCGCATTAGTGCTTTAAGTGCCCAGCTTGGCTACATTTGGAGTAGATTTTCCTGAAATTAATATTAATCCTGCATGGAAAACACAGCTTTATTAAATAACACTCCAAAAAGAACCACAAACACACACACAGACACACGTAGGCATAAACTGAGCTCTACTAGAAGTACTGCACTTCACAGAAAACATGTCCGGCTGAACAGGTACTCACAGTCTGGTCTGTACCCTGAACTCCTCGGGGTCCTCTTCACCAGAAGGCTGGAATGACAAGTGAGGAAAAATACTGGAAATATGAGACCATTGCCTTTAAAAAAAAATTAACATATCAAAGTCAAATAACTGTTGTCATTACAACCTCCTGTCTGGGAGGTTTTAATCCTGACAGATGGCAGATTGTCTCGGTACAACTGCACAGCACCTGAGCCAAACTGATGCCTAAACACACACACACTGCACTTTGTGTCAGGGTTAATTTAAAAGCATGGATACAATGTTACTGTGCATTAGCATGCTCCTCAGAAAGTCGAGCTGTGAAGTCGTTGTTCTGACTTTAGTGTGTTCATGTGCTGTGAAGGCGAGATGTGAAAAAGAACATGGACGCTGTAATCAAAAGTCTTGTATTTACGTGTGTAGAGCTTTAAACAACAAGTTGACGTTTTTTAAATATTTGCATGATAATGAAGAGCAAAGAAAAAGGATCAGTGACAGGCAGATAAATAATTTAAAACATATGCACGTTAATCATAAAATACATCTGTATTGGCTAAAACGTTAAGTGCATGTGAGGGATGGACATTCATTTTGCAAAAGACAAAAGTAACATTTGACAAGTTTATATTTAGAGCTGATTGTACAATTATATTCACAAAAAATTTAAAAGAATCAGTTTCCATAAACAAATGCTCACTTATTACTCCACCAAGATTACCCCAAAACAATTCAACAGATTTCCACAAATTATTTTTTTCACTTTCTTGAAAACTGCAAGATAGGGGACTTTAAAATTTTCACTGATTTCCCAGGGAATAATAAATGGATCTTGGAGAGATAAAACTATGTGCTCCATTGAGGGCCAATCTAGTTTAGAAATTTTATTGAAATAGATACTGTGGCTCATTTAGGAATTGCTGTTCTTAATGGAGCAAGATCAGCCAGTTGAAGCGATTAAAATCGATCCCACCGAGTCAACCACACAAAGCAAACCGCTGTTTCTTAACACAGCATCAGAGGAAACCCACATAGCTTCAACACATTTCCTTTTTCAACCAGCAGCTCTCAGGAATACATGAGAGAAAGGCTTCCTCCACCAGCAGTGCTGTTAATAGTATGGCAGATTAACTCTTAAGCTGCTCACTCCCTCTGTTACATTACATCTCTAATACAGAGAGAGAGTGAGGCTATTAGCTAAAAGCACCCCCCCGCCATGGTCCAGTAATACTGAACTCTACACTTCATTTCAGAATACTGTGTGTGATGCCGACCTTACAACTTTAACCATCTTTGGATTACATCCACTCAGCAGGGAAAGTAGCGTCTGCATCGTCCTTCCAGTCTCCACGATATCCTTTTAACAAAGCAGCACACAGGAAGTTGTCACAATAAAGTGGACGAATACACAACAGAATCATGACATTTATGCAATATTTAATTTCAATAATAAATACTGGTTCATAGATAGAAATACTGAGACTATATGAATTTATCAACCTTCTGTAATATATGTATGATTTCTGCATCTATCTTTTTTTCAGGTATATAATCTGAAAACATACATTCTTCTCTTATTACAATCACAGATTTTGTGTACATTACTGCCCACGATGAAGATAAAAAAGAAGACACCTCTTACCTCAACAATCAAAACATTCTGCAGAGAAAAATTAAACAGTTAATTTGGAAAACATCCACACACAACTGTGTAGTTTCAGTATTTCCTCCTGACAAACATCAGAAGACTGACCTTGCCTGAAAGATTGGACAGCTCATCCCCTCCTATGATTTTCACACTGTTTGTTGACTTGTCATTCTGGGGACACAGAGGAGACGAGATTATCCCTCTCACTGTGGCTACAGTTGCACTTGTGATTAACCTCCTCCTGCCTGTTCTGCTTTAACGACGAGAAACACCTTCAACTCTACATTACAATTTTCAAAATGTCTCTGCAGCTGTGAACAACCGCAGTGGCCCATGTCTGATTTCAAAATATTATTTTACTTGGCAACAAGTCAATATTGCTACACTTCACGTCAGCACAAGTGGTTCCTGGAAATGCAGATGAGGAAAAAGGCTGCTTACACAGTAGCTCTTCACCCTAATGAAATCCACTGTCAGAGGGACTGATTTATCACTGTTCTGGTTCAGCACTTTAATGTAGTCCAGGAGGTCCGCAAAGAACTTGTAGCCCCCTTTTAGCACACACAGAGCTACGATGTGGTGTCCCCCCATGTCCTGGATAATGTCGCGGGCCAGACGTTCTGTCCTGGAGCAGAGGGGAGTGAGACACACAAAGAAAAACAGAAGCCTCATAAACCACAGCTTCATTTCATTTCAATTATTTAATGTGACTCAAGACCTTGATAGCATGGTATGGATCGCAAACAGAACATACGAAACCAAAATAATGGCACATCGCAAAAAAGCACCCAGTGTAAAAAATACTTTGATATCCACCTCCCAGACGGTTGTCATGACAAAGCTTACAGATTATCTGGTTTCTATCCAGGCCATTATATCTTCCACTGACCTTCAGGATTCTCATGTTATCCACTCTGAAATGACAGATAGCCTGCCTGTACTTTTAGTTTTCACACAGCGAATACTTTCCAATTTGATCACTTGTTTAACTCTACATAGATACACACGTTGACGTACTTCTGAGTCACTTTTAAATGATCTTTCAGCATCAATAGTCCGATAGACAAACCGCAGTCATCCAGAATCTGCTGAACCTGGAAGACCCGTGTTTGATGGTGAATGCAGAGGAGGTGGAGGAGATCCCTGACATGACATTACTTTAAAGCATGATGCTGACAACTGATTTTACTGCACCCCCA